CCCTCTTTGGAACTGCTGACCACCTCCGGAGCCTCGACCATCTACAGCTGGATTATCTGACAACATACCGTAAATCGAGCACTTCCTATTCTCCCCAGCATTACATCGGGCATGATACGGTCCACTGTGTGGTTGATAAGATTGGTAGCCCTTGCCACTACGAGAGTAGTCCATCGGCCGTCTGCTTCCTCCTCCCTTTCCATAATGCGACACAACCGGCTGGATCACCCGCAACTTCGCGCTCTCATCCCCAGCGCTTATCTTAGCCTCCCTCTCCCTCCTCGCCGCCTCCGTCAAGCGTATAAACGTCGACAGCGGTGCATCGATGTCATGCACAGCTTTCAGTACTCCATCCTTATCGATCATAATAGTATCCACCAGCAAAGTGTCGAGTATTTGCTCCAGACTATGAGCACCATAAAGGGAGGGGACCAGCACCCCTCGCATGACGTAAGTCTGGTAGTAGTGCTGCAGTAACGATTTGTGAATGCCCTTCATATCGGCATCCTTCGAAGTCGCATCACGCTCAAAGGCGTGACATATAAGATGAAGCTCATACCGTAAATTCATCAATTGCCAATCCACCAGCTCGAACTTGCCGAACAAAGGTGTCTTCTTAGCATCAATGTCGCACACATCCTCCGGTACCCACACGTCCACCTCGGCAGGTGCAGCCTCTACCATTTTAGCATCTGACCATGTACATGCGTGCAAAACCCCCACTACAAAATCCCCAATCGTAGCCTCCTACCCTCCGTGGCTTCCTTCTCCCCTTCGTCCTCCTCCTGTTGTTTAGCCTTCTCCTCCGTTTGTGCCTTCGCTTGCTCCTCCTTATACAGCCTCTGAGCCTTCCTCCATTCCAGCTTGGTATTCATCCACGCCTCCATCTGCTGCTTAAACCAGTCCGTCGGTCCAGTAATACTCGGCACCTTCTCCACAATCTTATGGGACTTTATCCACGACTGTAGCCTCCTATAATGCAAGCCTCACAACTACCGCTGCGCCACAAAATTCCCTACTGTGTCGCTACCGCCCTGTCGTCCCACACAAACT